CACACATATCAATAACTTTCAATTCTCAAAAGAACTTCAGCCTCTAAGTACAATCTTAAGGACAATATTTTACTTTGAACTAAGTTTTAAGTGAAAACTCTCCTAACTTATCCATTATTACTAGCAGATTGTCACTACTTATTATTCTCCAAGGAACTGAATTTGTGAAATTATAAAAGAAAAAATAAAAAATAAAAGGAAAGAGAAATATTTGAAAATATACAAATATACAGTACATATAGTTTCTATTTAATATTTTTATATTATATTCAACTATTGAAGCTTTTCTTCTAAACTTCACAAATTTACTCAGTAACTATACAGTATATTTTATTTATACTCCTGTTTGTATCTATATGTATGAACTATTTCTTTATACTATATACTGTATATATTAAATAAGTGCTATATATATTAACTATTCTTTAGTATCTATTTATATATGACTAGTTATATTGATTATACTATATATATAAGCACTATCTTTTCAGGAAACTGTGTGATTCCTTCTTGATTATTTTCAGCACAGTTTTATTAAGAGTAGGTTGATTATCAGACTGTCAAATTTTCTTTATTCTGAATCTAGTTTTTGATTCTTTGGAGTGGTTAGTAGATTTCTTCTCCTACTAAGGCCTCTCGATAGTGCTGATTATAGTAAGTGCTCATAGCCTAACATGTAATAATTAGTGGTACTATATTGGTCAATTAGATTTACTTTTCTTATTATCTTTCCTAACTTATCACTAGGAGTAATGTGATCAAGTCAGGATAATCCTAGTTGATTTTAGATCTTGATCTTCAGATTATAATCTTTATATAGACTATACCACAAGTGACATTTAGTCCCTTTCTGATTGTTATGTAGCTATATGCAAAAACATCAAAAGTCTTTTTTTTATTTGGTTAAATTAACAGATATAAGTTCTACCAAATTTTAGGCATTGCCTCCTGGAGGATTTGAACTTGTATTTTGTGATCTAACTTATGGAGTGCTAACCATTACACTATTGATCCATAAGTTATTTTTTAAAATTAAGTATTCTATACTATATTATTTAAATAAGTATATATTATATTTATATAATTAATTAATTAATAAATAAAAATTCAATTTATTAAAAGATAAAAATACTTTTTTTTAAATTATTTATTTGTTTAGATATATATATTTTATTTAATATTTGTATATTATAATCATAAAACATTTTATTAAAATTAAATCCTTGTCTAACTTATTTATCTTTATTTAATATTTCTTTAAAACTTTAAATACAACTTTAGAAATAATTTATTATTTCATTAAAGTTCAAAACCCAATTACATTATTTAATATTTTATTTCTTTTATTATAATTTTTTTAGACTTTTGTTTTTCAAGTTTTTTTCTTTTAATAATAATTCTTTTCTTTTTGAAAATGTAATTTCTTAGTCTAAAAATTAGAAAAAATTTTTATTATATCTTTTTTATAGATTTTTTATATTTGTTTTTTATTTAATTACTTTTTTATATTTTATATTTTAAAATTTTGTTCAAACTTGATTGTAAACTTTTCTTTGTATCTTTATTATCCATTTTCTTGCTTTTTTTTCTATATGCTTTTCATAATATTCAGATCTACAATTTTTAGAATAAGATTACTTTTTATGAATTAATACAAAAATTTAAAATACCTAGATTAGTTTTTAAAATCTGTTTCACTAATCCAAAGATCTACTTATTCAACTTCCCTAGTTCTTCTTGATCATTCTAATCAACCTAGAGTTTTTCTTTTTTTTTCTCTTTTCCTTTTTTGTAAAAACTCTCTAAAATTTCTGAAAATTCGATTTATTTCTTTTTTCTATATTAAAAAATAAAACTATTTTTAATTTAATAAATAAATTATACATAATCAAGTATCATTTATTTAATTTTATGAATAAAAGAAACCAAAGTATATAACCAAGCACTTATTCTTTATATTCCATTATTTTTTATAGGCGTACTAATGGAATTATATTCAGTTAATTTTATTTTTACTTAACTCCATGTTAAATCCGGTCAACTCATATTAATTCTGGCCAACTTTTGTATTAATCCTGGCCGGCATATGATAATTTTGCCTGATCTCCCTAAATACACCCTATGGTCGGTTCCATGGGGAGTGGACTTAGAGAAGTTTATCTGTATACTGTTAAAAAAAAAAATTACTAAAAATTCCAATTATAGTAATATTTTATTCTTTAAAAATATAAAAAAAATTTTATTTATATAAAAATTTTGTTTATATAAAAAATTTATTAATTTTATGTTAAATAGCAACCGATATTCTAATTGTCTATTAGATTATTCTTACAAGAACACACCCAGATCAAATTCTAGGGAAGAACAAGGATAAATAATTTCAAAATTTTCCAATACTTTTGGATGAAGTATACCAAAACTTCCGATTTTAGTAACCGACGAAGAATCACGAAGGAAAATATCGGCGCTACGATTGGGGAAGTATGTAGGATCTTTTTAAATTTTAAAAGGGAATTAATTATAAGAAAAAAAAATTGTATTACGATAAAAACTAAAATTTTTCATGATCAGCATACCATCAGATTCTTTTATGAAATATCCGTTTTCATCACTGGAAGATGCGATAAACTTCACATGAAGCATATCCATAATGCGGTTTACAAGCCCGTGAATAATCTATAAATAACAAATAAATAAATGACATGCAGATAACAGATAATATCATTTTAACATAAATGGACAATTATACATACCTCAAAGCCTGATACTTTACTACAGTAGATTGCGCAAACATGTCTTTTATTTCGTGATCTCCTCTCTAACGAATCATCTTTGAAAACAACATCTGAAACATCAAAAACTTTGATTGGCAATGGATGTTTCTTGTTTTCTCTTACAGTTTTCAGAACACCGGGTAATAGTGAGGTACGGACTACTTGGTACTCAAATGTCTTAGGGTTAGCCAGTTTTACGGCGGTCGCGTTGTCGTCTTTTTTGTTTAAATATGCAAAATTTTCGTCATGAGAGCACTAAAAAGACAAGAAATCGCTCAGAAAAGGCGCGGTAAATATAATTGTTTTGATAACTTTACGCACCAAAATCAAAGGCAAGACTTCAGTCCAACCTGCCAATGCCAACTCTTTTCTTATTAAATCGCTCAATTTATTTATTGGCAAGGCTTTACCAATGGTAGCACTACTGGGTAAAGTTTTTGGAATGTTATTAAAACCGTAAGCAATTGCGACATCCTCCATAATATCGCAAGCATGCAATATGTCCGCCCGAGTCGGTGGGACATCAACTAAAATTTCTTCAGCGTCATCGCTTTCTATTTTGGCCATAAGTGTCATTCGATTTAATAAAGTCACTATTTCCGAGGGACTCAGACTTAAGCCAATACATGCGTTTATGTAATCAACTCTAGCGGTCATAGTACGAGGAGATAAGTCCGGGTAAATATAGTTTGTGCCATCAGGATAAACGACATTGATAGGCTCCACACTATTTAAATGAAATTCTTAATGAGTAGTGATTCGAATAAAGAAATAATAATAATAAAACTCACGTAAATGGTTGATCACAGTGCTCGGAAAACATCGTGACAACCGTGTTCAATACTATTTTTGCTTTAGTTAAATCGGTCGCAGTACATTCGATAAACACATTTCTTGTGTCCAACGTAATCTTCGAGTGGTCTCCATTAATAATAGGAGGTAAAGAACAAACGACTCGATTAGAGTCGTAAATAACGGGATATACTGGAGAATCGCGAATGATGTGAAGAAATTTTCCCAAATGTTTGTCGTTCTGTATGTTGGAATAGCAACGCTATAAGTATCAGCCTATCCTTTCATGAGTTATTCGATAATGCTTATACCTCATAGAAGGACATCAATTCCTCTCCATTGAATTCTTTGTTCTGATTTAAGGGGGCAAATTTAATTTCCTTAGGAGGTAGAGCCTCATAAGTAAAAGGTCCCTTTAACGTGTCGAAGTCGTGCGTTCCAATGGCTACAAGTGTACGCTTTCTGTTTGTATACAACAGTGATCTAACCGTTAGAGAAGTAATTCGACATGTAAAGGTATTCAAAATTTAATTTAGAAATACCTGCAAATATTATTATGCAATTTGTCTTGTAGATCGATAAAATTATTGTAGTTTCTTTCAGAAAATCTAATGTTTCTGAGGATGGCTCCGACAACGTGAGGTCTAATTTGAGCTGTCTACGTGATTCAGATGGTGATGAGTTCAAAATAATTTTTAAGGCATCTTACTAGTTTGTAATGGCCTACCTCTGGCTTAATATGTATTTTCTCTAATTCACCATCTGGTTTAACTACTCTATAGGAGGGCGGCTTGGCTTTTCCCTGGAAAATTAGTAATGCACGCGAAATACCCTCTTGACAAAGGAGATCATATCTTATTGTGAAATCGAAGCTTCAGTTTAAAAATGGTTTCGGGTAATTTGTGAGATATATAAAGCGCATACCTATTAGCAGGAATATCGATTTTAAGGATAGGTCTGTCAGATAGACCTTCTGCTCTAGCAGCACCAATCTCTTTACTAACAACTTCTTTCTCCGAGGTCTGTATTCGTTGAGTGAGATTTTTTTGATTAGAATTGGTGTTAAACAATGTATCTGAACCTTCCATAATAATTCGAAAAGCTGTCCATACATCTTCTTCGAGCTCAATCCCAAATTCGAAGCATACTTCACGAAATTCTTCTGTGGCTTTGTTTTTGGTAAAATAAAGAAAACCCCCTTAGATAAACCCTGAGCAGAGGGCAACATTTTATGTTTTTACATTTACCAGAAACATGCTGCGCAAACTCTACCCTTTACAACTTACAATAGTGCTTTCCAAGAGTTGTATACAATTCTTCCTTATCAACATTAACGGTCGGCATCTTAAAATTACAGATAGAGGTTTGAAGTTGATCAAGGATTTAATGATAATCTTCAATATTACGTAATTAAGACAGGATAATTCAGGAAACAATGAGTTCTTTTTTAAAAAGCTAGTTTAAAATAAAATTTATTTTTTTTCCGCGTTGCCCGTATCCAGGCTAGTTTAGTTTATTAATCAATTGAAAACATAAGTACATTTTCATTCGAGCAGCATGATATATACTACAGCTAAACATTTCTAATCAAATCTAGCTAACTCGTCATAAGCATAAAGCCTTTAAGTTTGATCTTGATAACAATATTTTGCTTCATAATAGATTTTACTGTAGGGAATACCTTTCTAATTCATACACAATTGTCAGCAGATTGTCACTGCTATATGTCCTATTAAGTCATTGGAATATAAGAAACTATTGTATATAAGATTAGGTTAAAAAAAAAGAAAGGAATATATTTCAAAAATATTCAAATATAATGAAAGTAAAAATGAAAAATTAAAATAGAATTCTTCAGCTTTCTTCAAAGATTACTTTTTGAAATGTCCTATTAAGATATCTTTTCTTTTTCTTATTTTCTATTTTAATTTTTTATATACAGTATATAGTATATTACTGTATCTAAAGAAACTTATTATCTATTAAAAATCTTTACTTTCAAAAATATATCTAATTCCAATTTTTTTTTTTTTTTGAGTACTTGTATTCAGGCTAGATCATAGTTTATTAATCAATTGAAAAAATAAATATATTTTTACTTGAGCAATATATATATATTTTTTTTTTTTAATTGCCAGCTCAGCATGTTTATTAGCATTAATATAGACAAATTCAAAGAATTACATTGAAAGTATCATAACTATTGTAATAGCTATATAAACTACCTAAAACCAAACAGTTTACCGGATTGCTTTTTGCTGCTTCACCAATGTAGGGGAGAACTAGTCTAAGGTCACCTTTCGGTTAGTGCAAGAAATATAAAATAAGAAAAAAAAAATAGCAGGTACTGTTGTGCAAGGATCAAAGTTTCTTCTACTACCGATCATCTACTGAGACTAATGCCAAGAAGTATTCAACACCTACAAATTATCCACCGAAGTATTGTGTCTTTATATCTTTAAAAGGGAGAGGGAAATGTTCTTCTTCCGACTGGGGAGGGGTATGGTTTCAGATTGCCAGCTTTGTTAATATTATCTCATACTGGTACTCTACCTAGGGGGTTACTTATCCAAAGATCAGGTAGGACCTATGGCTAGGAGGAACCTTAAAACTATGGTGGGTTGATGACCTTATCCTAAAGATAATACCAGTTTCAAGCATAAGCTGCTTATTTAAGAAGACGTAACTCTTCCAAAGTCAGGCTAAGTCATTAGGGGTCTTCCAATCTGGCAGTCGTTTCCAACTAGTACTTTTACCAAGAGTAAAATTGGTAGGTATCACTAGCAGCCTAAAAAAGACCATGCTGAAGGAAGAGTTGTGTTAAGAGTCTTGATATGAGTCGTCAGCTTATGATTTTTCTTTTTTGTAGGGCCTGTTGTATCTCTTGATTCTGCTTGTTTCATCTTTAGAGTGGTTCTGTGTCCAGGACGTTATGCTTTCTTGAGCCTTGTATTGTTCCTTCAACATCGCACCAGACTGAATTTATTTTGTTGTAAGCATGTCAGGTTACTTCTATCGATGCATGAGTCCTTTTGTCTATGGGCTTGTCCTTTCTCTTTCTTTCCCTTCTTCCATGATGTAAGAGATAACTATGTCCTGTATCTATTCACATGACAATGACTAACTTATGGTGGATCCCAGGTTCTTATGAGACTGAGGAAATGCATTCAGACACGTGAGGTGGTCAATAGGAGTTTGTTTATTAATCTTTGTCAACGTGTTTCATGTTGACCAATCAAAATCAGTAGGATTTGTGCTACCCAAAATTCAGGGTCAAGCTAGGGTAGGCAAAATTCTCCAAAAAGCCGTGAAGTGGGAGCTCTGAGAGGCCAGAAGACCATGTCAAGGGGAAAAAGTAAGTCCTTGACTGGGACAGAACCTCTATCATAACTTGTCTTGTTCCTTCACTTCAGAAAAGTGGTGACAGGTACTACACTGGTTGTCCTTCTCCCTTTAGAAACTTTCTTGCTGTTGGTAGTAAAAATATGAGTTGAACTTTGTAGGCCATAAGAGTTCAGTTTGTCCAAAGATAATTGTAAACAAGATGAAAAGGGTATAGATGACTCCTTAAGGTTCTCTTCAGGTTGAATTAAGGAGAGTGTTAAGACTTTATTAGCAAGAAGTATTAAAAACTTTTTGCGAACATCTTTTTTGTGTGTGATCAAGGGATCAGTGGAAAGAGTATGAAATATATTGATTTTCACTTGAGCAATATAATGTATATTACAACTAAATATTTCTAGCAAATTTAATAAACTTGTCATAAGCAATAATAATCTTTAAATTTAATCTTAAAAACAATATTTTGCTTTATAATATTCTTTGATAAATATTCTTTTAATTTATTATTTTATTATTAACAAATTTTTACTATTGAATGTCCTATCAAGTCACTGAAATACAAGAAACTATAAAGGATGAATTAAAAAAAAAGAAAAAAGAATATTTAAAAATGTTTAAATGGACTTATAAAAAAATAAAAAAAATAAAAATAAAATAAAAATTTTCAACTTTTTTTAATGACCTGCTTTACAAAACTTCTTCTTAATAAGAAATATCTAAGTAGAATATTTTTTTTTTTCTAACCATCTAAGCAACTTATTTATTTTTTATTTTAATTTTTATTTATATATTGTTTAAGAAAATTTACTATCTAGTAAAATTTTTTATTTCAATAGTATACTTGGTTTCATCTTTTTTTAAATAATAATTTTTTATTTACTTATGATAAATATGTAACTTATAATGGACCCTAGATTTTTATATGACTTAATATAAATTAAACTATATTGTATCATTATGATATTTTTGAGCAATAATATCTAGTTAAAAGAATTTTACTGATAAATATCTTTTATTATTCAAAAAATCAAATTCTATAACAATCTTTTTATCTTGTAATAATAGAAAAATCTTAAAAGTAACAAAAATCCTTATCAATTATAATATTCTTTACCAACTTCTAAAAAAATATATTTTCAATTATAATCAAAAAGTTGAAGCTTAATATAGACTCGGGACTATCCAATATTATTGCCTAACTAGAATAAAAAAAACCTTAGTCTTAAACTTTGATTGATTAGAATAATAAATGAAAAAGATCTTAGTTTAAATAAATAATAGCTTTTTTATTATCTAAAAACTTGTTATTTATATCTTATTAATATTATAAAATTTTATTTATAGATTACTTCAATTGAAAAAATAAAATAGAAATAGAATATTAATCAACTTTTCTTATTATCAATAAAGTTATTGAGATATATATAATAATCAATAGATATTTATTTATTTATTTTTATTTTTTTTTAAACCCTCTGTCAGGCTAGTTATGTGTGCTTTATTAAACAATTGTAAACTATACATATAGTATAAATCGCTAAAGCTAAAACTTTAACTAGCTCACTCGTCTCAGTAATTACTCTAAGTACAACTTTGGGAGTAATTTTTCATTTCATTAAAAGTTCAGGTGAAGACCCTTCCAACTTTTAATATCATTGCCTGCAGGTCACTACTGCAGATCACTCTTT